TATCATATACGATCATAGATCTATTGTTCACAAAATTTCGGAACTCTTCGCCATTTTCATTGCATTGACTGTCTCCAAATGTATAATGTCTAGCATTAAAATCTCCCATGCATATTTTGCCGTGATTCTGGAAGTTGGGCAGTGAATCAGTTTGAAATTTTCTACACCTTGCGTATACATTGTACAGAGAGAAAACCCCAAAGCTGTTCGAATATGTAAATGCTGATATTGCACATTATTGTCATCAGACTTCTGCACCAGCTTATGCGGTATGGTGTCACTGACATAAGTCAATAGGCCTGTCATTCCTGTGTCCATATAAGAGTGGTACCCTCTAATTCTAGGGGCGGTTTTTATTTTTGTGGCTGATGTGAAGGGCTCTTGTAAACAGATAACGTCAACATTATTGTTATGAATGTAGTAGAGCAAGTCATTAATTCTACGGTTGACACCACGTATATTCCATGAAAGAAACGCAATTATTTTCTTGTCCCCCATCATACCCTATGATTGGCTGATTGGTCAACTTTATGTTTGATGAGGCTCTTTAGTCTGCATATTTCTTGTACAGCATTACATATCTGTGCTGCATCTTGTTTATTTACACCGATTCTGCGCGCTTTCCTCATATTGATATTATACGTATAATCCGTACCTGATATCATTTTCTGAGTGAGCCCTCAATCATATTTTCGACATCACTAACATCATTAGTAAGCATATTTTTTCCTGTCCACTACCCGATCACTTTTTATTTCCATAATCATTTTTCTCATTTCAGTGAGTTCTTGCCTGAAGCTTCTTATTTCCTCAATCACTTCCTTGTTTTGTCCATCACTGGTCACACCTGTGGCACTGTTTCCTGGGATGAGGAATCCCCCTGGCAGTTGCGGGAATTCCTGTGGGTTGGTGACGTCACACGGCACTGGGTGGGACGAGGCTGGGGTGGGCATCGCCACTTTGCGGTCGATGGGTACGGTCGGGGCAGCAGGGGGGTGCGCGTGGCGGTTTGTAGGGGCATTTGCGGTGCCAGGCCGCCACGCCTTGCTCTCCGCACCTGACGCACCTCTTCACGATGCTGACGGTGTCTCCGTTGTCGTTGTCTTTTTCATTTTTACTTGCAGGACAGTCCTTCGTCCGGTGAGCCTCCGCACAAACAGCATAGGATGTTTCTTACCTGCAGTATTTTCCCACGTGACCGTAACCCTGGCACTTGTAGCAAACCACATCTGAGCTCCACGGTCTAATGGAGCTCGACTCAATGTATCGTCCAAAGAAGTGGCGCTCTTTGGGTGGCGGATGTTCTCCGCTCCATACAATAACAATCCTATTAAGGTGTTTTCCGTCCTTATAGATTCTCTGAGCTTTAAAAACACCCGGAAGATGTAGTGCTTCTTCTGCGGCGGCCTCTTCGGAAACCTGGTAACCAGGTATTCCCCATATTTTTTGCTTCATGGCCGATAGTCGTCCTCGTTCTGAAGAGAGATTCCTGCGATGGTGCCATTTACCATGAGGTCCACGTATTTTTGTTGTTCTCGACCTACATAGACGTAGCGAGAGGTTGTCCATCTCCCCTGCACCATGTCTAATGGACCTTCCTCTTGGAGGGGCGGCAGCTGGCAAACCTCCCTCATCCACTCTATTTTGTCTATAGCGGAAAGGCAAGTCTAATGTACTTTTCACGGGGGGTGATGGGTTCACGTTTTTTTGTCTTTACTTCGGTTGCATCATCGGTGGTCATGTTACTGGTGTGGTGTTGCGACGTGGTCTTCACTGTCATCCTCCTATTCTGAACGATTTGGAATCCCTCGTCATTCACATCGGGGTCGACAGGCGAATCCATACCGTTCATTTCCCTATGTTCAGTGAGATCAATCCCCCCCATAGGGTAGGAGGATGAGGGGGTGGTAGATGGCAATGCGGGGGCCCCGAGCACGTCCCTCTCCCTCTCCATGACGGGATAGCGAGGAGGTAGTTGTCCACTTCTACGGTGATTAATTCCCTGCGGTCGGGCGCGCGGAGGGTGTGAGCGTCAGGTCAAGTGCTGTCACACATACACTCACTAGGTCTAGTCAACGGTCGTCCGTACAGCACCCTGTTACCCTAGCACTACACTCAGTATTCGTAACTTTTTCTAAACACTGTTATTTCTAGATGCCTTGAACATAGTATCTGACACAATTTGGGGAGTATATACCAACACACACCACACACAGTCTGGGTATAAGAACAACCCAGGTGAGGGGGTTTATCCCCGTAAAATCGTCCAGATCACAGGAGGAATCCTGGTGATGCTCTGCCTTGGTGTTACTAAGTAAATACAAGTTGCGTCACTCGTCAACGAGTCAAATGCGGTAAGCAACAAAGGAATATTCCATAAAAAAAATGTTCCGAGGCTGGTTAAAACTGGAAATTGCCTGCGTTTCATCATGCACTTATATACTAGTATAATCTTCAGTAACACTAAAGTATTTCAATATGATCCTTAGCATATAAGTGAAAATAAATACGGTATTATTTAAAGAGAAACAGAATCTGAGCTTATCAAGTAGTATAACACTTCGTTCCATGAAAGTTTTCTTCTATAGCAATTTCTTTGCAAATTGATAATAACGGCAATAAAGAAGGTGTAAAATACGTTAAACGCAGCTACCTTACGCCTAGAGCGTCGCGACAAAATGACAAGAAATCGTTGATAGCGACCGAAAATCGAACGGATTCGTAGCGCATAACGTAAGCAAAGGAAATCAAATGAGCCAATTAGATGTGCACTGGAACGTGACGTGACCATTGGCACTGACGTCCAGGATAATAGAACCAATGAGATGAAATAGATCACCACGTTCCAATAGAAGCTGGACTAGATGAAGGCGGTGGAAATTCAAATCAGTTCCATCCAGGGCTGGATTATCTTATAGGCTAGTATAGGCTGCAGCCTAGGGCCCCTCAAGCTTGGGGGCCCCAAGCTTGAGGGGCCCTGCTTAAAGATTTTCAAATATATTTTTTTTATTTAATGAGTATATTTTAATATTTTGCATTGCTGAATAATACATTTAACTTAAAATAAAATTTCAACTTTACAAAAGGAGGCCTGGGAGTCTGAAAACCCAATATTAAAAAAGTGGCCCCTGTTTGTGGCCCCTTATTTGAGATAAAGGGCCCCTGTTTGAGGCCCTTTATTTGAGGTAAGGGGCCCCGGTTTGAAGCCGTTTATTTGAGATCAGGGACCCCAGTTTGACGCCTTAGCTGTAAATCAGGGGACCCCAGTCCAATCTTAGAAATCTTTATAAAGCAGTGATTTTAATTTTCTAGATGTTATGAGTTATAACTTCTAAATAGCTTCATAAACTGAAATGATATCAATATGACAAACTCATATTTATTTTGATTATTGTTGTTATAATGCTGGTTATAAAAAATCTGTTTTTTTTTCACTACGGTTGTGTTGAAATATGGTAAAATAGTGGTATTTAAAGAATATCTTTCTTGACAAACAAAAGATAGCTATGCTTGTTTATTTAAAGAATTTGCAATAAGTTTACTTCAAGCTATGTAAATGTCTCTAAAATATATCACGAGTAAAAGATATTTAAGACGGGTGCAGCCGAGTTAGAGGGTGGCTCCGTTTGAGAGGGCCCCATAATTTCATTAGCCTATGGGCTCCAAAAGGTCATAATCCGGCCCTGGTTCCATCATAGCTAGGCAGTGTGTCGGGTGTGATGATAAGTATAACGCTAAAGGATGTTTAAGGAGGCGAAATCCCCTATATAACCTTGAAGTGAGTGGATATATTGTTGTGTATTACCGATATTTCTCGAAATTTCCCCCTAAATTCCCTGATATGTATCATTCCCTCCCAGCTATCGGGACCGATATCGTATTTATGCTTCTTTTGCGAAGGAAATGAGGGCTAGATTCGTTCGAGAGATGATGAAATCTATTGGAAAAAATATATCGTTCATCGGAAAATCGGTGTGGGCGTCTCCTCTAAATATGCCAAAAATACACACGTATTTATAAATGCATAATGTTTTGAAATTATATCCCGGAATATAACTAGAATACGTGTTTAGAAAATTTCTATCAAAAGTTATATTTGCTTTGGTTCCCCTCGTTATGTTCATTTCTTGTAATTGCCGAACATAGAAAATGCTAATAGGTGAGATGGCTAACTTATCTATTTTACATAACAAAAATTAACACCTCTATCTGATATATTAATTTACTACTAGGAAGGAATTTTACTGTATTCATAGAACATAAAATAAACACATACTGAAAGTCAGTGATAGGGAACAATACTCGGCCTCGTTCAATGGAAAACACACACAAAACGCACGCACATGCACTCGCAAACGCACACGGACACTCACTCACTCACTCACTCACACAAACACGAACACAGTAACATGTATACGAAGATAAAAGGAAAACAGCCTCAATAAAAAATTAAACAGACTCGTAACGTCAACAACTTTTGACTCGTCAAGAGTTCCTCATCAGGCAAAAAAATAATCAATATTGATCTATTTCAGTTAGGAACTCTTGACGAGTTCGGAACAGTTCGCTTCATTTCACATTGTGCCTGCTTCTTTCCTTCCTTCACACGCACACAAATATATATTTATATATATATATATATATATATATATATATATATATATATATATATATATATAAATAATTATATGTATATATGTGCATATATATATATATATATATATATATATATACATATATATATATATATATATATATATATATATATATATATATATATATATATATATATTATATATATATATGGCTTGTTGGGTTTGTTACTGAAGGTAGATGAGTGACCACCAATGACACCTATGTCTGCGCGGTTGAGGACGAAGTGGTGGAGCTGGACCCTGTATGGCTTGGTCTGTCTGCCATGTCTTTCTCTCTGCCTGACAAAACGTGTCCTTTTATGCGGATGCTCCCTTCAAGGGTGGATGCTTACTTACGTTGTAGAAATGCCAAAAGAGAAAGCAAAGCAGGCACCTGAGTCCAAAGAGGAAAGGCAGTTGCTAGCGACAGAAGTGTCAACGTACCATTCGGTCTTGCTATGTATTGTTTACATTGTTTGTCCATGCGCAAGGCTTGTCTTCGAGCCGACTGCTACGTTTGAAACGCTGTAATAAGCACGTAAGGATACAAGTTCTGCTCAGCATCAGACAGATGGTTCATGGTGATCCGATGGTTGCTAGCATCGTCGCGTGTCAGAATAGCGGTGTGACAGAGGCTTTGCAGTAAGGTGTAACATTCACTAGCAATGACGATGTCGGAAAAAAGAGAGCATGATAAGAACAATTTGTCACGAAAAAGGTCAAGTGAGGTGTCAATTAGTTTGGATTTGTCAGGATTAGCAAGTTCAGTAGAGTGCGATCATATTGTAGAGAGAAAAACATATCTGAACAAGAATTCCATATTTTCGGGCTAAATAACCTTTTATGCTTCAAACACATAAGGCAATTGGCTCGGGCGCGTCCATCGTGTGTGCAAAGTGTGTGTAAATTCCCGGTGCAGCGGGTTCAGTATTCCTTCGTTTACGGCCATGAGTCGGGTTTAAAATTAATGAACGGGATGATTTACCATCAGTTGCGCCAACGGAAGGTCCAGTGCAGAATGTCAGTAAGGAGGAAGTGAGAAAGGCAATTAAGAGCATGAAGTTAGGAAAAGCTGCGGGTTGCTCAGGAGTAACTATTGAGTTGATCAAGACATTGGATGAAGAGGGTGTTGAAATTATTCATTCCATTCTGGAAAGTATGTGGGAGGAAGAAGAGATGCCAGAGGACGGGAGAAAAGTATAATAATGCCAATTTACAAAAAAAAGGGCGATCCAATGGACTGCGGAAATTTCAGAGGAATTAAGCAATTGAAACAGATTATGAAAACAGCGGAAAGGGTTTTGGACCAAAGGTTGAGAGAAATCATCGAAATTGATAACATGCAGATGTGATTCATGCGAAAAAGGGGAATAACCAATGCAATCTTCATAGTAAAACAACTGCAAAAGAAATATTGGGAGGGGAAGAAAGACCTGTTTTTCTGTTTTGTCGACCTGGAAAAAGCTTATTCCTGGATTCCAAGAGAGCTGGTGTATTGGTGCTTGAGAAATGTACCGGAGAAACTGATCAGGCTGTTGAAGGCAATATACTACAGTGCTAGGACAGTAGTGAGAACACCATATGGGGAAACGGAAGAGTTCAACATCGATATCGGCTTACATCAAGGATCTGCACTAAGTCCGTTCCTGTTTGTTAGTGTGCTGGACGTGATCAGCGAGCTGTGGAGAACCGGAGTGCCGTGGGAAATTCTGTTTGCTGATGATTTGATGCTAATGGCAGAAAGTGAAGAGGAGCTTCAAGAGAAATGGGAGGCCAAACACGAAGGCATACCGAAGAAAGGATTGAAAGTCTACAGTAGAAATAAAATAAAAGAGTCAACATCACGGACAACTGAAACAACACAGTTCTGAAGCAAGTTAGCGAGTTTAATTATCTGGGCATGATGGTGAGCAAGGGAGGTTGTTCAGAACCAGCTATCAGGGCTAGAGTTAAACTATCTGGTGTGATCAATGACAAACGGATGCCAAGAAAGATAAAAGTCTAGTTGTACGAAACAATGGGAAAACCAGTCATATAGTATGGCCTGGAAATGTCTGCGTTGATGAAGAAGGAAGAAAGATTACTCATAACAACTGAAATGAGGATGCTGTGAAGGATTATGGGCGTTATGCTATGCGACCGGAAAAGGAGCGATGACATACGGAAAGAACTAAGTGTGTAACATTATAGAAAGGATCAGGGAGAGCAGGCTGCGATGGTTTGGACATCTTGAAAGAGCTCAGAATGGACAGCCAGCTAAGGACATCACAAACTTGATAGTGGAAGGCAATAGAGGACGTGGGAGGCAGAGAACACGGTGGAAGGACATCAAGAGGGACTTGCGGGAGCTGAATCTGACTATGGAACTTGTTGGGAATAGGAAAGGATGGCGAAGGAGGATTCGGGCGGCCGACCCTGATTAATCGGAGCAAGGCCTATGGCGAAGAAGAATTATTGAATGGATAGGTAAGGGGAATGAGGTGTGAGGTGAGGATGTGTCAGTCAAGTATGACTTCATTTGTAGTGTTATAAAATGGTAAACAGCAAAAAGCTTTGTACCATAGAGCTAGTAGTGTGTGTTGGTTGAGTGGTGTGTATGTTGAATTTGATAGAAGGCAACTCGTATGTAATGTGTGGGTTGGTATACTTAATCAGTAGTTAATCAGGCACTAATAGGCACATTTAATTTTAGCGATGAAGTATTGGTGGTGATGAGTAAAATGGCGGCCTCATGGTTGTGCCGACGAGGGTTCGCAAAGAGGTGGCGAGGCAGGTGGGCCTGATTGGCGAGTGTGGCGGTGTAGAATGCAGGAACATATCATCAGCATCTTCGTCAGGAGTGAGTGGTCAGCACGAAGTAGTAATA